AAAAGAAAAAATATAATTGTTTTAAACTCTTTAAAGCCCCTGCCACAATTATTTGCAGATATTTTTTTTTAATCTATCATTTTTTTCTCACTTTATACCTCATTGTTTTTGGCCATTTATCGTTATTTCTATTCTCCCTCCTCCTCCTCCTTCCTACAATTATCCGTTCCCCCTGATTTCCCTTTCTCTCTTTACCAATCCTAACAAAAAATTTGATTTCTATATACAACAACTGGAATGCCTATTACGGTACAGTTTTTTTCTGCACAATCGTTTTGCTTCTATTAAATAAACAAAAAATGAGCAAAAAAAAAAATGTATTGTTTAATTAACTGTCATTCCAACAGAAATAGAAATTTTAAAAAAGATTGAAAGATTTTGAAACCACAAAAAAAGGAAAGGGGAAAAAAACAGACTTTAGCAGAATAACCTTAATTCACACGTAAAGTAACGCATCATTAGAAAATTTAAGCTTTTTGGGATATAAAAACTGGGCACACACAGTTAATAGACGACCAAATAATGGTAAAAAAAAGAAAAAAAAAAGCAAAATAAACTTCAAAACAGAAAACAGAACAAAAGTATTTGGGGAAAAAAGAAAAAGTCAAATTTGATAAGCAAAAGTAAACGCAAAAAATTTTAATAATAAAGAAAACAAAAAAAAAAAAACAATGTCTTATCATTACAGTCCTAAGAAATGTTTAAATTTTCTCAGACTGATATTACAAAAAAAAAATATCATTTTTTGCAGATATTTATGAATTTAAAAGCCTATAGATTTTGAAGTTAATGTTTTTGTTTTTTGTTTTTAAAGGCAACAGTTCTAACACTTTTATATTGACATTCTTCTAAAATTTGATTCAGTAAACGTTGTGAAATTCCAGAAAAAAAAAAATTTTATTGTTTTATTTTGCAAAAATTTTGACGTTGAATCCAACTGAACATTTCATATTAAAGCAACTATAAAAAATAAAACTTTCTGTTGAGGTATATCACTGCTGTAAGGCGGTATTTATACATTCACAACTGTATTATCCGCAGCTCTCTCACCAATTCTAGATTTAAAAATTCAAATAAATTCTATAATCAAAATCAATATGCTAATAAAAAGCATGAAATCAAAGACCACTTATAGTGAGGTGTTTTAAGATTTATGGATATGACGACAATTAAGTTAAAAATAATTTTGATGTTTTGGGGTCAAAAGAAAGTGACAAAAAAAGAATATATAATAAGGAAAATACAAAAATAAACTTGAACCTTTAAGTCCAACCTGGTCAACCTAAAATCTAACTAAAAATAGCCTCTTTTAGTGCCAGGTTGTACTGCATTTTAGTCTGTTTAGTTGACAAAATTTGAAGAAGAAAGTTGGAAACGAATGTTCCTTAAATGGTTAAGTAGATAAGTGGTTTGGCTAAAGATATTCAAATTGGTTATCAACAGCAATTGCTTTATTTGAATTCCTGCAACATCCATATTCCATCACCAAATGTAAGCCATATAACATATTTTTACAAAGTTTTATAAGTTGTAATTAATGTGAAACCTTAACGCTAATAACTATTTTTTGCTTAAATTCAATAAATCTTTTCAATATGTTCAGTAGTAGCAGAACAATAATATTAAAATATTTCTGATAACTGCTAACAATGAAGTAAAACTTTAACAGTGATTACAAAATTAAGCGTTTTCTAAAATCTAGATAAATTACACAAAAAAAGAAAAAAAGCCTAGTTTTTTTTTTTTTTTAAAAAAAAGTATAAGGTTATAGGATTAAAGAGGAAACTGAATGATACAGATAATTAAAGTCTTCTAAAATACCAAATAATGTGCAGCAACAAACTATTCGTTTTATCCGTTCTTTTCTAGCATCCCAATGCCTGCAGTTTGGCGATATCAAACAGATGAAATCAACCATCCATTAATCTGAGGTTCAGCTAAGAAGTCAAACGACAAGAAAAATAAGTGATTAGAAATTGCTGCTATATAAGACACTTTAATTTCCTCTTACCTTTTTATTTTTGCAGTCTCAAAGAGAAAACAAAAAAAATCAGTTTCTTCTCAAAACTTGAATGACTACCAGTTGCAAAACTGAAGCTTAAAAGCCGTATTTGTTGTTACCACATCAAATCTCCAATAAGTTAGTGCTTCAACAAAACACAGTTGAAAATTTTACAAAAAAAAAAAAAAAAGAAAAAAAAGCTGATCAATACAGACAAAAAGTTTAACATTTATTCAACAATTACCACAGATACACACTTTTACTGCGCCATAAAGAAGCATTACTATTATTGTTACTATTATTATTATCATTAATAATAATAATAATAATAATAATTATTATTATTATT